GGAAACTTTGTGCTATTTCAGATTTTCAATACACTCCATTCTGTGTGATTTATATGCGTTTTGAAAAGTGGGGTATGCAAATAACTTTAGCAAAAAAGTCTTGAGACTCTGGAGACGTATATAGATGGGTGGGATGAATTATTAGCAGCTTGTTGGAAAGGGCATTAACTGTAGATGGAGATACTGTCTCCACGTCTGCTGCTCTGATTATGACTGTTCTTCCATCTGCAGTCTGAGATTCGACTGTAAACAGAAGCTCTAATGTGGCTGCAGCACACCAGAGGGAAAAATGTCCCGCTCCTCTGTTTTCCACTGAAGTCCAGCCCAATAAATTCCTTTATTCCATTATATGATCTTAAACTCCCATCTGCGGTGGAGAGAAATGGCTTCTCCACCTACATTTAATGCCCCTCCAAACTGCTCCCAACAGCTCCTAATAATTCATCCCACCACCGGTCATTTCTACTGTCCAGAGCTCATTTTCTCTGTGTCTGTGTGTGTTGTTGAAGGGGAGGGTTCACTTGTTCTCATTTCGTTTCACATCTAGTTTTCTCAGGCTTTGTGATGGTTATAGTGTAATGCTATGATTGTAAGTGTCTGTGAAATCCACCCATTCTTTTCCTGTGTCTTTTTTTAGTTTAGACTGTGATGTTGATGTAGAGAGGCATCATAGGCCTTTAGTTTGTGAGGGCCAGAAAACAGTACTTTGATTTTTGGAGTTTGTTTCTATGCTGTATGAATGTTGGGAGAAAAAAAAAATGCTTAAAGGGACATAAAATGTAAAATAATTAAAATATTTTAATGTACGACTTAGACATTCACAGTCCAAACTCCCATTCCAGTCCACCCAGAACATTTATTTAGCTGCAAAAACAGGTTGTTTAGAATTAAAAGAATAGTTCACTGAAACAAATCATTTGTTTCATAGTCAGATATTTTCAAAGACTCAGTCGATCCAGTTTACAAAGCTGTCTAATTGATTCATTCATAAATTGAGTTTGAGTTCAACTAAGTTCTTGCTAACTTTGATCCGACTGGCTCATTTGAAGGGAAGATTTCCAATAAATAACAATGTAAATTGTGTAAGGAACAGACGAAAATGTACAGACACTGGAAATTTTCCCTTCAGAAAACTTGAAATATAGTGCACGTACAACATATGGGGCCGGTAAGATTCATCCTAGAAGAATTCTGGAAAAAATAAATCATGGTTTCCACAAAAAATATTAAGAAGCACAACTTCAACATTGATAATTATATATAAAAAAGTTTTTAAGCACCAAATCAGCCTATTAGAGTGATTTCTAAAGGATTATGTGACACTGAAGCCTGGAGTAATGATGCTAAAAATTCAGCTTTACCATCACAGGAATAAATGACATTTAAAAGATATAATAAAATAGAAAACTGTTATTTTAAATTGTAAAAATATTTCACAATATTACTGTTTTTTACTGTATTTTTTGATCAAATAAATACAGTCTTGGTGAGCATAAGACCCTTCTTTCATAAAAATCTTGCCAGCCTTAAACTTTTAAATGGTAGTGTATCTTGTAGACCATTTGATAGTTTTTTGTATTCTTTTTGAAGCTTAAAATCTTCTGATCCCATTCTTGTGCACTGAACATTTTGTGTTTCACAGAAGAAAGTAAGTTATGCAGGAACAACATGAGAATGACTAAATGCTGACTGATTTTTTTTTAGGTGAAATAATAAAAACATAAACCAAGCAACTGTCTTTCACAATCAAAATGGAGGTCTAATACATATAGAATTTGAATAATAATAATAGTAAAAACAACTGATTTAAAACTAAATTACAGCTTGACTAACATTATAAGTGTAAAAAAATTACCAGCCCTTTAAATAGTTCACTTTTATTTTTTCTGTAAGGTTGCTCCGATTGTTTTCAGCTCTTGTCTCACTCTGTGCGCAGTGTCAGGTCCGGCTCTAGAGACGTTTGTAGGGGATGATGTGAACACCCTGCTGATCCTCAATCTGTTGAGTGACACCGAGTACAGCGTTCAGGTCATCGCCTCCTACACCACCGGCTCCAGCCAACCCCTCACCGGCAAGGGCAAAACATGTGAGTCTCCGCACAAATACAATTACCCAGTACACACAAATCTGCACGCATCTAACTTTGTCATACCCAGCGTGAGATCTGTACTTTACTCCCAACAGCCCACCATCATTTTGCTGCACCATCACATCAGATTCATAGATGTAATTTGCCTCCTGTGTGATCGTCCTTGCTAATACCGTTTTTGATAATATGCAGCAGCGATAGTATCACAATGCAAGCGGACTAGCGAGAACTGTCCCTTTTGTCTGTTAATGAAACCTGAAGGTGCTCTTTGATAGGCAGCCAGCTACACATATATCAACATTCAGACAGACAGCTCTAGTAATGACAGTCCTGCATATAAATTTGATATCGCCAGGTACATCACAAAGTAATACCTGTTTTAGCGATTCTCATCAGAAAGCAAACAGATTATGTTTTCTCAGGGAGTGCTGAGGCCATCCATCAGAGCACTAGGGTGTCACCAGCCCAATATCAGTCACCACGGTCTTGTTTCAGACTAGTCAGATAAACAGGCATGATGCTTACAACACCTGCAACTGACAAAACATTTCTTATATCATAGAATATAACAGGAAGCTAAGACATGTTATATAAAATACTTGTTATCAGGGTTCTTCCTGTGACTTGCACAATCAACTGAGCTATTTTATGTAAGTTAAAGTAAGAGTGTTAGGTTTTATATAATTTATGCCCGCGTAAAAAGACAGTATAAGTCATTATCAGTAATTATGTCCCCACTGGATGCAACAAATGCCTCGTTTGTAATGGGTTTTTAATGTTTTGGTCTCGTCGCTCTGGCCGGACACGGCATCACAGTCTGGTGAGGGGCGTAACATTTCCATCACACGCTTGAGGTATTCAGCCAATCACAACGCACTGGATAGCTGGCCAATCACAGCACACCTCGCTTTTTCAGACCGATGAGCTTTGTAAAAATCGACGCGTTTCAAAAAGGCGGGGCATAGAGGGGAAACAATAATGTACAGTATGTGGAAAATAATGTGTTTTTTAAACTTTAAACCGCATAAACACATTTCATTACACCAAATACACAAAATAATGTTCTTTTTAGCAGCATCATATGACCCCTTTAAGTGAAAGTAAAAAGTATTTAGGGGAAGTAATTAAAAGTAAAATCTATTTATAATTAATAATTTTTTTATTATATTATTTAATTTGTTATATAATTTTATTCATTTTACTATATTAATTTTAAAAAGTAATTTTGTGCACAATTCAATTCAAATTTTGCTCAATATTCTGGCTATGTAAGGCTTTAGAGCATCAACAGAGCATCAATATTTGTATCAAGCATCCTGAATTGTTAAACAACAAATTCCGTACCATAGTACTGAGTATAGTATAAATATATATTACTATTTTACTTTTAATTACGCCCCCTAAATACTTCTTAATTTCACCTAACTGTTTTGGCATAATCTATATAAATAATATATATATAATATTTTATATGAAGCATTTTACTCACATTTGTGACTAAAAATAGATATGTGTAACTGTGAAATGTGTGTAAGTGTGAAAAATATATTTAGGAGTATGTGTGCAAATAAAACGTCAATTCGGGGTCCTAAAAAGTCTTTAATTCATTTTTTTTTTCACATTTAAAGTAATGAAAATTATACATATCTAAAATAGTATAACAGAAGTCTTAATTATAGGCTATCAAGAGAGCTAAAATTCGGAGCCAAAAATTAGGGGTCGCAATACACTCTGACGTGATAATTAAACTTGAAAAGGAAATGATTTAATTAAAGAAATGTGAATCATTACTCAATGTAAGTTTTAGTTACCTAGTAAACTGTATCTGGCTTTTAATTCAATATTTAACATCTAAATCATTTCATAATTAAATAAATAAAGTTTGAAGCATATATATTTAAATACCTGGCATACTTGTGTATTCAAATGAATTAAATAATTAAAGTTTTTTATGCGCTTCTAAATTTTTCAACATTTTTTCCCTTGGGGAAAAAGTAAGTGTCAAGCCCTGAAGGTCTAAATATAATAGATTATCATGTTTTTTTTTCTTAGTAATGTAAATGTAGGTATTTAGTTTCAACAGTAGTCCATTAAAGTGCAAATGACCCCAAATAATATCTAAATATAGTTATCAAGTACTATTACTATACAAGTATTTCACACGCGCACACAGTTTCCTACAAATTAGATTAATAATGACTCTAGCAGAATCTAGCTTTATTATTATACAATTATACCACATATACTTTTTTTAGAAGCTTATTCAGAATCCATTTGGCTCACAAATCTAAAGGGGCACATGTCGTCTCAGTTTAAATGAGCATGATGTCTCTGCATGTCACAGATGTTATGACACCCTGATAGTGCCATTAAGCACGGACAAAATGTGCTAAAGGACTTCCAGTCAATCTCAGCTTCTAGCACAGGCGATTATTCCTTTCACACTCCATGGCTCTCTGAGGAACCTCCCATATTGTCTCACCCTACATGATGACATCTGCATACCACCTGCTCTATGGGGTCCATCAATTTTTCATACGTTTCTGTTTGACCTTTGAATAATTGAATGCACAATAATGGATTTCCACCTCCTTGTATTAGTACTATCAGCCAGAGGCCCTTTTTGCATGCATATAGTTCATTAAAATAGTTTATATAAGGAGGAAAGCTTGTCACATGCATTATTCAAAACCTTAAACGAATCCCCTCCACTGTGCGCCATATGTTTTGTGCAGTCTCCGTTTTAATCTAAAATCTCCAAGTCTCAAACGCAACTGACACGATGTTCCGTTGTGTAGCGTGAATTTCAATGGACAGCTTGATTGCATAAGTAGTTCCTTTTTAGGATCTTGCTCTCATATCAAGACTCAAAGGAGGACAGTGTCCCACCGCATGGAAGTTTTCCAGTACAAGCAGAATTTGAGTTTGCCACAACCTTTGGCATAGAGAATACGTGGGACTCTGTTCGTTGCGACATGGCCACGATTGTGTTTGTGTTCCAAATACTATGAGCTCCAAAGATGAGTATTGTTTTGTGTGACTAATGTGGACCATGTGCTGTGGCTTGGGCTTGTGCTTTGCTGACCAAAAACGTGATAATTCCAAAATAAGCCTATTCTTTGGCTTTTAAATGAGTTTTCTTTCACACAGCACATTTTGTGTGGTTTGCACAAAAAGAAGGAAAATAAAGAAAGAAATGGTTAAGGCCATTTGTGGCTTTTAAGTGGAGAGCGTATTTGTTAAGAATGCTGTTTGAACCTCTCGCTTTCCTCTCAGTTGTGTTTTTCTAGCCATTCGTTTTGCCTGACTTGCAGTATCTAAAGAGTATCGCACAGAAATCTGAGGAGATCAGAAATAGGGTGCTGGTTTCCAGAGAAGTGAAGCCTACAGGTTTTACCCCATAACCTGCAGCACAAAGGAGCCGCTGGCTGCCCTATGGCTCATTGGCTATTACTGTAATACATGTACTGCTTTTCATTTCAGAACATTAGACTACATTAGAGAAGCAACGCTCAAGGCTTTCCTCTCACTACACACCAATGTGTACATTTCAAAGCTTTCATTCAGGTTTAGTACACCGCTGTTCAAAAGTGTGGGGTCTGTTATATATTTTAATGTTTTTGAAAGTCATGTTCACAAAGCTTGATAATAATAATAATAATAAAAGTTTTTATTTATTTATTTATTTATGTATGTATGTATTTATTTACTTATTGTTATACAATGTTGCAAACAGTTGCGGTGTAATTATTATATATATATATATATATATAATTTTTTTTTTGGGAAACCGTGATTCTTTTTTCAGGATTTTTTTTTAATGAATAGAAAGCTCAAAATAACAGCATTAAAAAAAAAAATATATATATATATATAAATCTTTTGTAACATTGTAAATATCTTTATAGTTACTTTTTGATCAATTCAATGCATCTTTTCTTTAAAAAATTAAATAAATAAATTTAAGCTTTAAATGTCTTTACTGTCACTTTTTAATACACCCTTGCTGAATAAAATTATTAATTTCTTTAAAATAATTATAACAATAAATAAATAAACAAACTTTTGAATGCTGGTGTATGTGAGCATTTGAGAAAAAAAGTTTTGCGCGACTAATGTGGACCATGTGCTGTGGCTTGGGCTTGTGTTTTGCTAACCAAATATTTATTTATTTAGTTATTTATTTATTTACTTGAAATGTTGAAAAGAGTTGTGCATTATTATTATTATTATTATTTTTTTTTTTTGAAAACCATGATACTTTTTTTCAGGATTCTCTAATGATGCAAGTATTTTTTTTAAATAGTAATCTTTTATAACATTGTAAATGACTTTATAGTTACTTTTGAGCAATTTAACACACCTTTTCTTAAAAAAAAATCTTACTGACCCCACACATTTGAATGGTAGTATGTATTCACACGTGTTACACTGAAAAAAATTTTTCCAACAAAAGTGTACTTAAAACAAGATCAATTTAACTAAGAAGCAAAACTGCGTAAGACATTAAAAATTAAATGTTAAATTAAATGCTTTCCTCCTGGTTATAGCTTAAATGGATAGATAGACCTTCATGTTGTTCCAAACCTGTATGACTTTCTTTTTCCTGCTGAACAAAAAAGAAGATATTTTGAGGAATTGTTTTTGTCCATACAATGAAGGTCAATAAGGTACAAAACAACAATGGACCCTATTAACTTTCAGTGTATGGATTAAAAAAACACACAAAATATCTTAGTTTTGCTTTTCCACTAAATTCATCTTGTTTCTTTTTTCTCTTGCAGTGTTCCTGGGGGTGAAGAATCTCAGCACGTACCAGGTGCTCAGTAGCAGCTTGTGTGCCCAGTGGCAACCTCACCGCCACGCCACCGTCTACAGAGTCGTCATCGAGTCACTGCTCAGTGAGTGATACACACATCCACACACACACACACACACACACACACACACTCAGAACTCAAACACAGAACAAAGCCATAAGGTGGCTTCCTGTTTTGCAATATTGACATAAATTTCAGTTTTGTTACATTTCAGTTTCAGAGGTAATGGTATATTATGGCTCATTTCAGCACAGACCTCTGAGCCTCTGGGCTGTTCAACAAAACTATTTTATTGTATGCATATTGCTCTGCTGGCGTGTGACATGGTTTCGATTCAAATTTAAAACAGCAGAGTCAAAAGCCCTTTTCCCCTTATTGCTTTTCTTATTCCTGCCTGATACCTCGCCGGCCCAGCTTATCTCGCAATCCTGGAAATCTTCTGTTCCACTTCCAGCGTGTGACTGCTCAGATGGCTACCAGCTCAGTAATGCTATTAAAACCAGATCCTGCCTGAAGCCCCAGTGTGTGCGTGTGTGTGTGTGTGTGTGTGCGTGTGTGTATGAAGTATTTGAATGACAGTCATTGCAGTACTCAAAGAGACAGAACTGTAGAAGAGATGTAAGAAACTTCAGTTACTTTTCAGTTTATTTTGACAGTGAAACCCTGAAAATGTAATTCTCAAATATTATCTGGGTTGATAATAGCTTTTAGATCATAATCTAAAAATAATAAGAACAATTGTGATGTTCAAATTCCTGCTTTTCTGGCCTTGCTGAGATATAATCTTTTTTTTATTTTTTTTTTATTTTTTATTAATAATTACCAGTAACTACCTTTTTTAAATACTTTTATCCAGCAAGGATGCATTAAATTGACCAAAATGACAGTAAATACATTAAAAAAATGTTACAGAAGATTTCTATTTTAAATAAATACAGTCCTTTGAACTTACTATTCATCAAAGAATACTGCCAAAAAAAAAAAAATCACAGTGTATCGTGGTTATTATAAGAATATTAAGCTGCAAATGCTTTCAACATTAATAATAATAAGAAATGTTTCTTGAGCAGCAAATTAGCGTTTGATATCTGAAGGATCATGTGACACAGAAGACTGAAGTAATGGCAACACAGAAATAAATTACATGTAAAAAGGCATAAAAAATACAGACCAGTAACTTTTTGAAATGGTAGTGCAAATACTGAATTTATTGTAAATAAATAAATATATTTTAAATATATAATATAATATAATATAATAGTTTAAAGCTATTTCTATCTATTGTTCCAAATTAGAAAGATTTTTGTTAAAGCGGTGGAGAAAAAAGTTGTAATTGAAGAATAACAGAGACAGCTTATTACCCTGTAGTCATGGTAAACTATGCCTACACATATATATCAAAACTACTGCGGAAGTGTGTGAGAAGACTAAATATGAATATATACGTATTTTGCAGTACTAAGATCCCTGCTGCTTTTCTTCTGGCCCTCTTCTAGTCAAATAATGTCCAAACTTTGGTAACCAGTAGGAACAGCGGATTAATTTCTTGCCATCTTACTCGTCGGGAGAATTTGGCTGTGGAATTTCAGCCAGTCATATGAATCTTCAGCACCGAGCGCTCATGGTGAAGCGAAGCGTTCCTGCGTGCAAATGCGAGGAAAGGGAGGAACTGTCCTGCTTATGCCAGAGATGTGACTGGACTGAGAAGTGCAGTCTGTTGAAACAAATGCTTAAAGGAGGATAGATGTTTACTGAGCCGAGCTGGAGCGCTTGCCAGCTACTTTTCCATAGAGCGGGAACGTAATAGGCAAATGTCACATCCCATTGTTTGATCAGCTCCGCAATCAAAGCATGTCTGAGCAAGGGAATATCGTTGATCTTATTATCACATCCCAATTTTTGCAGTCCACATTATCATTGGAAAATGCAAAGAAAATACCTCAATTTTTATATAATGCACTCTAGAGACGTTTTCTTTCAAGATCGTGGTTAAAAAGAAGGTGCTTTGGGAAATATCTCATTAAAGTAAACCTTTTCCCTGTTTTTTCTTATTTAATAATGATATAATATTGCTTCTGAACAACCCAGCCATTTCTATTCCCCATGGACGCAGCTGTTTAATGGCAGACAAATTAAGATTTATGAACCAAGTCAAGCTGGATATTAATGTCTGCCATCACAAACAAAACAAAGACATCGATGATAGATATGTAGAAAAAGAAAACCAGTAAGAAAAAAGTCGGCGTCAGCGAGAACACCTTCACATTTAGAAAGAAAAGAAAGAGTCTCATTTGACTCAATCTTAGGCTTCTTATCATGATTCACCCATTTCCCTGCAGTCTTTGGCCTAGCTCCAATTAAAGACCTCTCCGTTGAACTCTATGGACTGAATGCAAGGCTACCCTTCCTGAGCCCAAGCATTGGTCATTTTCTCAGCTTTGGAAAATAATTACAGCTATGAAGGTGATAAATAGCAGTTGTGCTACCTTGTACCCTGGGATTTGAGTATCACATTTCCTAAAAGATGATTTACTCATAGTTCCTTTCATTTAAACAATCAGTTTGTGAGCAACAACACATGCCTGGTAAAAATAACAACACTGCTGTGGTGCCACTTCTGTCATTTCCAACTTCAGGCTTTGTTTATAGCCTGAGGACTTGAATGGCGCTGTCTGATTAATTAGCACAATTGTTTACTTGAGAAAGCTGTTGTGATTGCTTTTTATTTTTCTTTGATTGTTGCTTGAATGCCAATTCTGCTGTTTTAACTTTCTCACAGACGGTCAGAAACAGGAAGTGAGGGTCGGTGGCGGTGCATCCAGAGAGTGCTTCTTCAATCTTTCCCCCAACACCCAGTACAAGATCAGCGTCTACACTCTCTTACTGGACACAGAGGGTCCTGTTGTCACCACCATGGCGACAACCGGTAAATACACTCTGATAACTGTATATTTTACGCCATTATAAGACTATAGACTTCAATCAGGGTACACACCATAATTAATTGTGAATGAAGATGAGATTGTGAAGGACACAGTCTGTTCAGTTGGTTGTACTGTTGTCCATCCCTCATAACCTCGTTTTTAGTTGTGGTGGATTAAATATGGCATCTGTCCTTAAAGGGGGCATAACGCACACAGTTTCACCCAATCTCATGTTAATCTTGAGTACCTATAGAGTAGTACTGCATCCTTCATATCTCCAAAAAGTCTTTAGTTTTATCATATTTATAAAAGAAAGATACAGCTTTACGATTCTCTCCGGAAAAAGCCGAGCTCCTGGAGGCGCGCCGTGGGCGGAGCTAAAGAGTGACGAGCACTTGGGCGCCGAATGCCAACAAAACAGACATTTGATGCCGTTTCACTTACCGTCTGCAGTTCTGAATCATGACCGGGATCTTTTATAGCTCGACCGCTCCATCCTTCAGTATCAAACGATGTGC